TTGCCAGTAGCTGTGCCACACTACCTACCTACCTAAGACTATATAGAGGAGACCCCTGCAAGCATAGGGCCTCGCAAATGAGGAAATTCATGTTGCCCCCCGGGGGGTGGGGCCGCCGGTGGGGGTTCGGCTAACGCAAAGACCGAGCATTTTGCCAGTAGCTGCGCCTCCCTTTCTCATCGTCTCCCACCCCTCATCGAGTAGCAGCAGAGGCTATGGCCAACACTCTCCCACACACCACACACAACTCACTCACACCCGTGTTGGTCATAGACCCCGCTAATACCGATCAGGGGTATCCAGAGGACTATCACAGTCCGTTGGCACTAAGTGGGCCGGCGGAATGGGGCTTGAACCCACACCCTCCTGAATGCCACTTGTGTGCCTAACCAACTGAGCTAGGCCGCTGGATACAGGTAATTGAATTGGTCGAATTAGCCTGCCGAGATGGGCTTAAAAAAAAAAAGGAGATATTGAACTGATCAGAACAGACACTACACTTGATCTTACTTGGCCAAAAGGGCGAGAAAGGTATTGCGAGGCCCATTGTTGCGGAAGTAGCTTTCCAGGAAATCCCTGCCGATAACTTTCACGGCCTTTTGGCTAACATCAAGTGTGGTATCTGTTCTGATCAGTTTTGTATACTCCCAAGGGTGATGGACTCCACACTCCTCACTCTTCAAAGCGCGCTTTGAATTGATCTTCCCGCCGAAGAAGCTCCACACTCTTCAAAGCGTGGTTTGAATTAGAAACTTCCCGCCGCAGGCCGGCTCATATTAGCGGTGTTTTCCTTCCTTTCCTCTTCGATTAGGATCTGAGTCGAACCCCCGCGCAATCTTGGAAGGTGAACGTCCGCCCAATCTTCTGCCCGCCCAATCTTCTGCCTGCGGCCGCGGAAAAAAAGGCGCGGCAAAGTTCAAAAAAAAAAGGCGCGGCGAAGTTCAAAAAAAAAAAGGCGCGGCATGGGAAGGAAGGCGCGGCAGTCGTAGAGCGGGGGATGGTGATGTGGAGGCTGGGAGCAGGAAGCAAGCAAGCAAGCAAGCAAGCAGTAGGTCCTGCAGTTGATTGTGTCTTCAGTCCGTTCCCTCTTTTGACCGTTGCCCACGTGTTATCATTTTGTATTTCCTCTATTGATATTGCGCTTACAGCGAGGTTGGTAGTGCGGTCTATCTGACGAAAATATTGACCATTTTGGCGGGAGGCAAAGAGGTCGGTTCTTCATCGTGCAGCTGTGGCGGGAAACGGCATTGCTTTTTTTTCAGGCAAGTTCTCTTCTGGGGGGAAACGACATCGATTCTCACCGTGATTTGTGACCGGATTCTGTCTAGAAATCGCTCTCATTGAGAAGTTTCCGACGAGTCTGGTTACAATTCACGGTCACATACGTGCCAAAAAAAGTCCTAGAGTGATGAGTATGATGCCCTCACAGCGAGCCTTCTGTCTTCTCACTTCTGCCACCTCCTCTCTCATCGTCTTTGCCGAACGTTCAGCCTCCTGATGAGTGGGTGAAACTCCGACGTAATAGTCTGTCACAGCCCCCCGTCTCTTGTTCTTTTCTCCCTCTCTGTATATGTATATACATGTGTGTGTGTGTGTGTGTGTGTGTGTGTACAGCAGCGGGGGCAAGGTCCCACTTGCGCAAAAATTAGGAGATTTCGGCCGTTGATCTTTGCTATCTACAGTCAGTATCTCTTAATTCGTGCAAGTGTGACCTAGCGCCGGGCTTGTTCCATCAACGGGCAAAGATACTTCGTAGCGTGAAATTCTATCTGTCTCACGTTGTGGAATATTCGAAGCCCCATTCCTTCCGTGTTCTCTTTTCGCACTCTCTGCGGGGGCTATCTCCCCATCTCTTGACTATGGGCCTCGCTGCACTACTCTTGAAATGCACAAAAGACAAAGATCATGTCGCTGTATCTTTCCATGTTCTAGCGGAAGATTCACTCTCGTTTTGCACCTTTCGAGAGCAGTGCAGCGAGGCCCTTTATGTGTAGTATTTTTATACTCTGCTCTTAGAGAATGAAGAACGAAGATCTATGGCCTTACCCATTCAAGTGGGATCTCGGCCCGCTGCTTGGATTGGTTTTCCCCAAACTGTAAATACCGAGACTCCCCTCATACCTTTCTCCCTTTCTTGCCCTCTTGGCTAAGATGATGTGTATTATCTGTTCTGTCTGATTAGTCTTTATAACTGATCCGTGGTCCACCGGGCCACTCATGTATGCAGTTTGTCACAGCCCCTCGTTTGTTGTCCTCTTCTCCCTCTCTGCCTACGGTTTACCGTAGGCAGCTCTGTTTGACGATATATAGGGCCTCGCTGCACTACTCTCGAAATGTGCAAAACTAGAGTGAATCTTCCGCTAGAATATGGAAAGATACACGGCCAATATTCTTGTCTTTTGTGCATGTCGAGAGTAGTGCAGCGAGGCCCATACTGATGAGTCGGTGAAACTCCGACGGAACAGTTTGTCACAGCCCCCCTCGTTTGTTGTCCTCTTCTCCCTCTCTGCCTACGGTTTACCGGGCAACTCTGTTTGAATGTATATTGTATATACTGTATTATAAAAAAAAGAACCCCCTCATTGTTGATGGGATCTTGGAACTCCGATCGGACACACAATGAAGTCGGAATTTGTTTTGATAACTCCACTTGCAAAATTGCAATGAGCTGCGGAATCTGTGGACGAAGCCGTGGTAGAGTGAGTATGAGTCGAGCTAGTGCGCCCTGAAAAGGTGTCAAGGGAGGGGGGAGGGAGGAGGCGCAGTGGAGCATGCGCACGCAGGGAATATAAGAGGGAGGAAGAAGAAAGAACTTGCGTCGAGAGAGGGAGGTGAACGAGGTACCAGCTGCTCGGCGAGAGAGAGGGCTTCACTGTACCACTCGCTAAATGTGGAAAAAAATGGCGGGTGTAATATTCCAGTTTAACGCTAGGACACGTCTGGCACTTTCCAGAATTGGCAAGTGATGCAGAGAGGCGCGAAGAAGGGAGAAGACTCTCGCCCGTTAAGAGCGAGCTGGAAGAACCGCGACTGCACAGAGGGGGGAAGGGTGGGGAGCAGTCCCGCACATCGAGCGGAAGGGGGAGGTGACGAAGACACCCAGCTAACAAGCTGGAAGGGACTCGCGCATGATCCCTTCCGCTCCTCTTGCGCTTCCGCGCACATTGAGCGCAAACGATCGATGTGCACGTGAGTGCGCGGAATCGCCTACACTTTTCTTTTATCACTTCTTTTCCTCATTTTCTCATCTCTTCCTCTCTCTCCTGTGTGTGCACTACCCGGGAACACTCACCCACCCGTGCCTCTCCCTAACCCATGGGTAGGTTTGCAGCATAAGTCATGGCAGCAGGTACTATCTAATCTCCCCTCCCCGCTCCCTCCTTCCACTTCCCTCACCCTTCACTCCCAGCGCTTCTGTGCTGTCGCGGGTGTATCCGTTGGATTGGAATAGCGAGTTTGGGCGGCGGGAGATTGAGTCCCTTAGCCAGCCCTTTTTACAAGCCAGCTGGTCATCTTTGTTTATCTCAACAGAACTCTCTCTCTCTCGCTCTCTTTCTCTATCTCTCTCCTGTGCGTCTGCGTGGAGGGCAAACGAGATTGCCTGCCTCTCTCTTTCTCTCTTGCTGCCTGTTTGATTAGAACACAGCTGTCTTTTCTCTATCTTGCTGCCTGTTTAACTAATTGAAATACTTGCAGGAACAGCGGGTACAGTTTTTTCCCGAAGGCAACGCACCCCCGTCATGCATATATGCAAGCCATGTTTCCGGTATCATACAGTCATGATAAGGGTGCGTTGCGTTTGGAGGAAGAACGGTCACTTTTCGCCCCTTTGGGGATGAAGAACCCGGGCAGGCTTCAGTCTGCACCCATGTGGATGGTGTGCATCGGGAATGCCGAAAATGCTTTCTTTTTTTTTTTTTGATGGCCTTTCCGCACCTGCCTTCGCTATGTTTCATTACTGATCTTCCGGTCTTCCTCAGGATCCTCAGTGTGTATGTACTTGGTCGTAACTCCCGTCCAAACTCGGTAAAAGAAGTACTAGCGTAACTCCTGCGCAAGTATGCACTATGGATCCTTGTTATGTAAAGAAGTGGGGCAGTAGACAGATGTGCGAAGGGCCAGAAAAAGTGCGGTAACTCGCAGATTCACGCACCGGCGGAGAGAGAGAGAGAGAGAGAGAGAGAGAGAGAGAGAGAGAGAGAGAGAGAGAGAGAGGCAAAGGACCAGGAGAGGTGCGGTTAATGGTGGATTCGCACAGAGACAGACAGACAGACGCACACAGAGAGAGAGAGAGAGAGAGAGAGAGAGAGAGAGAGAGAGAGAGAGCAGTAATTTCTCACTACCTTGTTCATCCTCGTGTGCATGTAGGGATCTATGGTGGAGATGGAGGTGGATGAAGATTGCACTGGTCGAAGTGGCGGAAATCCGTTGGAGGAGGATGAAGGCGACGGACTCATTTTATGTCTGTTGCAGAGACTATCGGAACAAGAGGTGAGTTCTTTTCTGTGGGAGCAAATTATTAATTCATCATTATATATTATATTCAAATATATTTTGAAAAACATTTTTATACAGCAACAGCTGATATGGTGTCGTTCTGCTGCTCTGCTATTCTGCCATTCTCCTGTCATATGGATGGGTGGTACGCGCGGCTGTTCTGTTTGGAGTTATCCTCCCCATCAGTTTCTTGCTTCGTCTTTTTTTTTTTTTTTTTTTTTCCTTGGGTTTTCTCTTGCGCTTTCCTTTAACCTGTTTGCTATTCGGCGATATGGGTGATGCATAATTTCCCAAGAAATGTCGGGAAAAAAATTATTGCCAGAAAAAAAAAGAATAGCAGATGGAGCCATGGGTAGTCCGTGGTAGTTTTGCCGTCTGCCTCTTGTTGTCAATGCCAGTAATGCTTTTTAGAAAGGAATGAGAAGGGTAGAGAACGCTGTAGCGATGATGATGAAGATGACGAGGATAATGGTAATGATGTTGAGGATGATGATGATGATGATGATGATGATGACGATGATGATGATGATGATGATGATGATGATGATTAGAAGGATGATGATGATAAGGATGAGAAGGAAGAGGATGAGAAGGAGAACAGAGGGGTAAGGAATGACAAGGACAATTCCTGATGACGATGATGATGATGATGATGATGATGATGATGACGATGATGATGATGATGATGATGAGGATGACAGTAGTGCTGGGTACAAGCCGTAATGTCCGAAGGTTGTGGCGATGGAGTCGACGTGTTGCTGATCGGATTACCGTCTTCACCGTACCGTTATAATCGCTGTATGTAGACTGAAAGTTGCCCCAAATACACCCGTACCGTCATAATCGCTATATGTAGACTGAAAGTTGCCCCAAATACAGCTATAATGACTGTACGTCCGAATCGGGGGAAGACGGTAGTGTGGGTGATTATCTCCTTCCATCCTTTTCCTGAGTTGAAAGGTCCTCCGTCTTCCCTAACCCCGTCTCTCTTCTCTCTCTTCTCTCTCTTTTCTCTTCTTTCTCTCGAGAAAAGATGAATTATTCGTCTTTCCCAACCCGCTCTCTTTTTCTCTCTTTTCTTCTCTTTTCCTCTTTTTTCCTCTTTCTCTCGAGAAAAGATGAATTATTCGTCTTTCCCAACCCGCTCTCTCTTTTTCTCTCTTTTCTTCTTCTCTTTTCCTCTCTTTTCCTTTTTCTCTCGAGAAAAGATGAATTATTCGTCTTTCCCAACCCGCTCTCTCCTTTTCTCTTTTTTTTTCTTCTCTTTTCCTCTCTTTTCCTCTTTCTCTCGAGAAAAGATGAATTATTCGTCTTTCCCAACCCGCTCTCTCTTTTTCTTTCTTTTCTTCTTCTCTTTTCCTCCGTTTTCCTCTTTCTTTCGAGAGAAGATGAGTCCGTCATGTCGCTGTTCGCCGATCATCGCTTCTTCCCCCGAACACAACGTCATTATGACTGTATCGGACCTGAAATACTTGTGTACATGGATCGTGAGGGTGCGTTTTGTTCTAAAGAAGACGGTAGTAATGATGTTGTCTCGAATGGAATCAGCGGGATAAGCGGTCCTTGCTCTGGTCCTCGTCGTTTTTTTTTTTTCTTTTTTTTTTCCCTTTTTTTTTCTTTTTCTTTTTCTTTTGTCCTCGTCGTTTTGCTTTTCCCGGTTTCCTGAAGGTCATAGGTCCCCTCTCTATCGCTCTGCCTCTCGCTCTCTCTCTCCTTCTCTCCCTTCCTCTCGGGAAGGAGGCTCTCACTTACGTTCGTCTTCCTGTATGTGCGGATGCCTACACACCCTCCCTCCCTCTCTCCTTCTCTCGTCCGAGAATTGTTGTGAACTTGAAGAGTTTATTTCAATCTCTCAAGTTCCGCTCTCTCTGGTCACTTCTCCGGTCCCCGCTTTCCTTTTCTCGCTATTCGCTGTCTACCGTCTTCCCCCGAATAGAACGTACGGTCATTATGTTTGAAATTTTGGGCAATTTTCATTCTAGATGCAGCGATAATGACCGTACGTTCTATTCGGGGGAAGGAGGAAGCATCCGGTCTTCCCTCTCCTGTCTTTTTTTTATCGCTTCTCGCGTTTCCGTGTTTTTTTCCTGCTGGCTGGCCTCCCCTCGCTCCTGTCACCTTCTTTTTTTTTTTTTTTTTTTTTTTTTTTTTTCGGGTTTTCCTCACCTCTCACCTCTCTGCCGCTGAGTGCTCGTCGAGCAATGTCGGCTGTCTTCTGTGCGTTTTTTGTTTTTTTCTTTGGTTGCCAGTTTTCGTCAGAAAGGATCTCCAATTATCTTCCTCTATTTCATTACGCTTGAAATTGAACCCCGGCCAATGGGCATATCTCAGTTGTGATTTTTTTTTAGGGCCTTTAAACAAAAACTGTTGAAATACAGACCCAAGTTCAAATCCAGATGCAATCAAATGAACAGGATAAACTCCGATAAAATAATTCTAAATACCTGGGGCCGGTCAGTTCAGTGATGATATGTCAAGACCGTCGCCCTTTAGTTGGGGGGAGAGGAGGAGGGGGGGGG